ATGAATTTGATTTAACAGGAAAATCATGCGATTCATCCGTAAATAGCATCTGCCTAACTTAGAATTTTCATTTGAACACGTACGAAATGTTACTCCACCTGAGCAAACTTTGCCGTTAAGACATATACATTTTCTTTCGAACAACACCTCGCTCGCTTGATTGCCATATTGCATTTTTAGAAAGTTATTTTTTTTAGCGCGTTGCAGTCGGTGTGAATCTTTTGAAAGACCCGCGGCTACGGGAAAATCGATGCTTTCAACTTTCGCATTAGCGTAAAACCAAATGGGCTGAGTTGCCAAATGTACGCGTCGAGAAAGATAAACAAAAAACCAAAAAGCCGATGTCCATCTCATAATACTCGTTAATCGGCGAGCTGCTCGTTTGCATAAAGTATTTAAGCTTTTTTCCCTAATAATGAGGAATCGAACGTGCATGCGATCGGTCTAGATCGAGCCGACAAAGCATTACTTGCTGATTTAATTAAGCGAATTCAAAAATGCCTTGTGTTCTTCCAACGTGAAACTGTATAAAAACCTTTAAACTCGCGTTATGCAACCACCAGAAAGTCTTTCGTGCGACATACCATATAGCTTTTACACGAGAATTTCATTTAAGTACCTATAGATTATGTTAATCTTTACGGGTAATGCTAGACGCTCCAACTTATATGCAAAAGCCTTGTATTATTTTTTTCTTTTTTATAAATATTCATGAATACCCAATGAGAATTCGTACACTCGTTCTTTCCTTTTACTTTCCTAATTCCACATAGCGGACCTTTACAATCGAATCGTAAAGCCAAGCAAGGTCGATTCAATGTGAAACGAATGTATTACTAAACAAACTGATGCGTATGATTTAACTGTGAACTGCATGAAAATAAAAGTGACCCCCGAAAAAAAAGACGTACGAGTCAATTAGAGAGACATTTTCTGGTGGTTAAAGAGTCTCGGCAGAAGGAAGCAAATGAAAAAAGGGAGCAGCAGCATTGGTCTATTAATTAACGTAGCTTTCTTTCTTTCTTTCTTTCTTTCTTTCTTTCTTTCTTTCTTTCTTTCCTCTGCCGAGTTCGACAACCCCCCGACTGGTTCTCAGCACGGGGTTGAGTTGACCGCCGACGACGACGACCACTCGTAATGCTTCCCCGGCACACCACGTGGCGTGTCTCGCCCACGCACCTTCTTCCTCTTCTCTCCCTTTGCCGGCGTTCATCCCTTTGCTTTTTTTTTATTTTACTGCGCTTCACGTGAACCTACCGGCTCGCGACCGCGCGCCAGGCATGTGCCGTCGCACGATTAAATTTGTGCCCGCGTAACCCGCGGCTTTTTTTCTCTTGGACGCGTTTACATTTATATCCGAATGGTAATTATCGCTGAACTTTTATTTCTATTTAACTTTGAAATATATGCCTGTAATGTTTCTTACGTGCCGTTGCTACCCAGCAAGTCTAAGAAACATTTTTAAACTTCCTACCAGTACAGTAAGTTATTCACCTATGTATGTAAGTCACGCAAAGTACTACGAATTTTAAATAAGATTATTTTCATACGTCAAGTCAAACGGAAAGCAAGAAGAGTTTAACAAAAAAGAAGGAAATTGAATTTCAGCTAAACAGCAAGAATAAATATTGTATATTTGATAAGTTCAACTTTTACACGTTAATGGGTTAATTTCTTTTGATCCGAAGAATCGATCGATCCGACAGACGCACCATTGAGAGGCAGCGAATGAAAAATATTTGATCGCGAGCAATGTAGGTCGTCCGATTGATCCATCGATCAAATCAAACATACATATGCACGTTGCTCACTGCAAAAATCTTTCCTTTCGTGTTATTTATCTGATAATTAACTAAAGTACTGAACGAAAGCTCCAAGATCGCGTTATACATACGCACTGGCGAATTTAAAATTCAAAGCGAACGAGTGTAACCCCCAAAAAAACTTACGTATTCACGGTATTAGAATTGCAAAAAATGAAGTTTTACGCGAAACCTTGAGAAAAGTTTTACATGTTTTGCGAAGTGGAAAGAAAAAATGGCGTTTAGAGTGATCAGCTTATTTGTTCTCGCGCGAATAAAAACAGCCATTTGGAGTTTATATATAGGTAAAAACGGGCAGTGATGCAAGCGTTTACACCTTGGCGATGATATAAGTAAACAACTCTCGAACGAACGAGCAACACTTTGCCGGTAGAGTGCCAGCCTATCTTTTGGTCGAGGCGATCTTGCATTCTACGGATAAATGCCTGGCTTGTTAAAGAGTTATTTTCATAGCCGATATTCTCGTCAATTTTCTTTTTTTTTTTTCATCGCGCGTGGTGCTTTGTAATTTGTTGAGCCAACAATTCCATTGTGCTAGCCGTGACTAAAGTCGGCGTACAACTTTAAACGAGCTCGTCCGAAGCGAGCAAACAAAAAATAAGGTGGGGGCAGTTTGCGCTTGGTATATCGTCTGTCAAATCGACCTACTCTTGTGTTTACCATCAGGTGCTCGCTCAACTCGTTTTTTGTACGTACGCGTATGTGCGTGTGTTTTCTTCTACCTCGAGCGAAGCTTGACATTCTATCCTCGGCTTGATTCCTCGTGTATTGATTTGTACGTGAAATTGAATTAAAATAGACACATGTATTAAAGGGACATGGCAATGGCACGAATGATTATAACCTTGAACGCGGCTAATCAGCTGAAAATCGAGCGATTCGCAGTATCCAAAGGACATCCGTTATGATTTGAAGTGAAAGCAAGCGGGCACTCGGGAAAGATGCGGCGAGCTAGAGCCCAACTCGGCAAATCTCCGAGCAGAGTTGACGACGCGAGTGCCTTGGGAGGGGTAAGGAGAGAGCGAAGAGAGCTCGCCGAGCGACGACAGCAGCGCCTATAATACGACGAAAAGGGGCGTCGTCGTCGGTCGGCCGTGCCAACACCCTCGCCAGCAGTAGCGTCAGTAGTGGTAGTAGCAGCAGGGCGCGGCTCAATCAATTTAGCCCGGGTCGGGGGTGCGCCGCGCGGCAACAGCCAGCGCGAGAGATTATTAGCTGCCGCTCTCCTTCTCTCTTGCTTTCCGTTCGTCCTGCTGTGCGTTCGGTCGGCGCTGTGGGAAATGCTCGCGCGAATGTCGCCCCCGCGCGCGGGACTTGGGATGGACGGCGCGACGGTGGTATCGAGCAGCCAGCGGCGCGCGCCACAGCAGCGACTCGATAATCTAGCCTCGAGCATTGCGCATGGCTGGATTTCCAGGTGAGTCCATTGTGCACGAGTCGACCCGGGCGATCGTTGCTTTCTCCGAGGGCCGCCCTCTCCGAGCAGTCTCTGCCAGTTGAACGCTGCGTGCTTCTGCTCGCGAGGGCTTGCTTATTTCATGACGTGGCTGCGTGCATCGAGCTTGCAATTAATCGATCGGCACTTGATTTGGAGTCGCCTCGACTGTCCGACGTTCGTTAGTTCTCACTCGGCTCGAATGCGTACAGGGGGTATCCGTTGATAACGCTCACGCTTGAACTTTAAATCTTTCAGGTTCGCAGACAACAATAGAGATGAATGTCAACGAAGCCGAACTATAATTGATCGTTGAGCGACTATTCGATCTATCTGTGCGTATATTTTCGAGCTGAATTCCAAGAAAAATATAGCAGCGCTATTTAAAAAATGACAGTAACGACAGAGCTGAAGGAAATCAAAGAAATGCTGCGCAAGATAATTAGAGACATGACGAAAATAAGAGAAAGCCAGAGGCAGATGAAAGAGGAGATGTACGAAGTCAAAGGCGATCTGCGAAGATTTCGTGATTTATGGAAGAAGGAAAAAGCCGAGATAGAGAACAGGCTGGCAAAGCTCGAGGAGGACAAAGTCAAGAGGGAGCTCGTGCAGAGACTCGTTAGATTCGAGAAAATGGACGAAGCCATCGAACTGAAGGAGAAAAGGTCCATCGGCTTGCCCGGCTCGGAGTCGTCCCTGCGACACAGCGAGCAACTGCAAAAGTGCATCGAGAGTATCGTTAAGAGGGGAAGACAACACGGCAGCACCGTCAATATCGAGTACAAGAAGTTGTGCACCAACGAGAAGAATATGATTCTCAAGGACGGCCAGAGATTGATTAGGCATTTCTTCGGTTCGCGCAAAACTGACCTTTAAAGCGTTCGCCGTTATTGTGGCTTCGATCGCTTCTACTAGTGCACAAAGCTGCCTTATGTAAATATTAACTTATTCAATAAATCATTACGTATGAATAATTGTCATTGCACGCCTGAAAATCATCCATCATTCGGCACACTATCACGCAGGATATCCAATACATGCCGTACGCGCGACGGGCTCAAGAGAGATATTTTTAACGGGAACGAGGAGCAGAAAAATAAGCTCCCGTCGACGGAAGGGCTGAGCAGAGATTTTAATGCTCGTTGCATTTCCTTTTATTACGCGCTGCTAATGGAGAATGGGATTGTTTGTCTAAATTACGAGTGCGAATGATGGAGAAGGGGTCGTTACGACTGTCAATCATCTATACCTTAATCGGCCCTTTGTATACACAAAGAACAGCTGTAACGTAATCGCTCATTTTTTATCTTGCTCTCAATGATGAAGGATTATTTCAGACTTGATGAATGAAGGCGTTGGAGCGTTCTCTTCGTGATACGGGTTCATCACGACTCTACCGAAAATTCATTAGACCGTCGAGTTTCATTTTCACGTTGATATTTTTTCAGAGTAAAGCTCTTAAGGAAAAGTGATAAACAAGCTCGAAACGAAAATAAAAAAAAAAACAAAAAAATGCGTCAACGAAAAACAACGAAGAATGTTAATTCGCAAGGCTCAGCGGAAGCACCTCGCTGCACGAGGGCAAACTGTATGAAAGAAATAGATCGAATTCATTGTCACACGACGCAAGGAAGAAAGAAAAAATAAAACATTTAGCATGTTGGAAATATCCGTGCTGACTCATTACAGCTTGCAAATTTACGATGATCTCCGGAGACCTTTGTCGAATAGTTCTCTCGTCTAAATATACGGCGCATACTCTCTTTCTCTTTCTCTCCCTCTTTCTCTCCCTTCGCTCGTTCGCGCGCAAGCCGTTTCGCATCAATCTCGAGCCTTCTTCTTTTTCTTATGATATCTCGCTTTGCGGTTTTTTCGAGAAATGAGATTCGGTGTCCCCGACGCTTTGCAAAGCGATGATTATTTATCGGTGGTCTTGTGGTCAAATGGAAACTTTGGAGACCGAGTAATAATTTCATTTTCGAAATTGGATCGAAAGGGTATATAGATCCGCGCAGTGCGCGCACGTGTCAAAACAAAACATATTTTTCATTCCTGTTGACGATACGATTCGACTAAAAGTTCAACAGTTGCAATGAGGTGAAATATGCTTTTAAGTAGGTCAAATCGACATCGATACTCTGTGCGTCACATGCTTGATCAAACATCCATGACTCATGCACTTCCATGCGCAGCAGCCGTCGATGGAAATTGGAAAAGCGCTTGGGAAAATGAAAATGTTGCAAGGACAATGGCAACCGAATAGATGTATATGTGTGTTTGCCCGACGCGAGAATGAAAGAGAAGCCCAGCGCTCGCTGCGGAGCAGTGACAGCTGAAAAATTAAAAATAAGCATGGTTGAACCGCAACAGCAGCGGCGGAGATAAATTTTCGATCCGTTAAACTCAATTACGCGAGGAAATCCGGCAAGAAGAGGGACCGAGTACACAAGCGCATATATCGTGGAGTAGTACATTTTTCTTGTCCCTCGCTGTCTCGAGAGTGGATGACGAAGAGAGAAAGAAAGAGAGGGACGAACGCGAAAAGGGTGACAAATTGAATATTTATTCATAAGCCCTTTGAAAGTCTCTGCCAAGAGGCATCGGAGTTCATTTCGATTTTCGGGCAATAGAATTAGCATTGCATTTGTATTTATGGAAAATGGCCGATGCGATACGATCGACCAAGGCGATCGGCCAGACCGATCTCTCTCTCTCTCTCTCTCTCTCTCTGCGCGCAGCACGCATAGACCAAGACCGAGCCATTGTGCGCGGCTGCTCCCGCCGCGCCTTTGTCGCCCGCGTTATGTCGTTCCGTTGATCGCGACGCTTTCCCTCCTCGGCAATTCGCGCCAAAGCACTTTTCTCGATGCCGTGCTGCTCGCCTCGGCCCGCAGAGGCGTCGCTCGCTCTCCGAAGTTCATTTGAATACACAATCGGATACGCAAACTCCGCAACGCGCACGCGATATACTGTTTCGCGCTTTTGTCGCTGCAGCGCCTTCTACCTAACTGCTTATTTTCTTGTTATTTTTCGAATGCGCACTTCTCGTGCGTATGCCCGTGCAACGGCGAGGCGCGCCTCAAATTTTCTCCCAGATCAGAATTGAATCTTCACTAACGAAGCAACTTGCCGGAGGCCGAAACGAAATAAAGGAGGAAACAAGTGTTGGCTCTCATACATAACCGCTCTTATAACTGTCAAAAGTTAATCCCGAGCCGACTCTCTGGCACCTTCGGGGCTCTCGCGGCGCAGCATGCGAAGGTAATTACGTTGCGCGACGAGGAGGGCGGCTCGCACATACGTCCTCCAGCCGCCTGCTCCTCCTCCTCCTCCTCCTCCTCCTCCTTCGCGCGGAGAGAGAAGACGAGCTGGCCGCAAGCGCGACGATCGACGACCGATGCTCGCCTCGCAAGCGACACGTCGTTCGCTGTTTGTCCGCAATGCCGCGGATTTACCGTGGACGATCCATATCGCGCCTCTCTCAAAGAAAAGGCGCCACCGCGATCATCGGGCTCACGTCGCGGCGAGAAGAAAACGAGCCGCGCAATTGACGTCGCCGCTCCGTTCGTATAATCGATGCGCGAGGACAGCGGCGCAATAGCGCTCGTTTCATTAAGAGCGCGTATCGGTATAGTTTTATACGGCTGGATATCTATACTTAGGGCGACGACGGACTGAGTTTTGCATTCGTATGCGCATCGAGTGGACGGTGACTTGGCGCTATCTTTAACTTGCTAATGCCGACTTTTCATCCTCCGTTTTTCTTCGTTCTTTTCCTCTGTATGCTAATCGCTCGAACAGCGCGATCGTCGTCGTCGTCGTCGTCGTCGTCGTCGTCGTCGTCGTCGTCGTCGTCGTTGTCGTCGTCGTAGCGTGGTCGTCGTCATTGCGCCGATTGGCATTCACGCGCGCTGTCGCTTAGACACTACTTTTCGTGTAATTCAGCTGACGACTATTGCAAATCGTGCGACGAATGCGACTGACAATGCGCGATGGAACCAATCTATGTGTTACTGATGAATACAATAGGCGTTTATTTCCGAACACGGGTCGCTCGCGATTAATTCGCGTTCGCACATTTATTAATTAAACGCCTTTTGCTCGCGCTTAAACCGGTAGACGGAATAATTGACTCCATTCTATTTTTTTTTCCTAAGTTTTACATTTTTTTCTCGAATCAAGCTTCTTGAGTGTAACATATGTTCGCTGGCATAAAGTCAATGAAATTCAGCGATGTAAATTAGATAAATAAGTTTATTAGCGGTGAATTTTTTTCTTTGACGCATCGTATTCGTCATTGAAATAAAATATGGACGTAAATAAATTGTTAATAATCGTTTCGGAAATAATTCACGAGATATATCTTTCATATAATGAGCCATTATTAAACTAATATCAGTGTAGCAGTTGTTCAAGTAAACTGTCAAGCATTAATCGATTTACAGGCGTACAGCCATTGAAAACTGAAACTTGGTACCCAAATGATCGTTGCTCGTTGAAAGAAGAATCGAGAACGTCGGTTCCCAACTTTGGGCAATAAATCAATTTTGGCCTCACTTGCTTATCAGAGGCTCTTGTTCGCTTGCGATTTTCGTATAGCGTGCCACGCACTAAACATGCACCCAAGTCTCTTTGCATCGCAAAATCAACCTGCTTTGCAAAGAAAAAAATAAAAAGAGAAGCCATTATACGCATTTTTCTCAAGCTCCGCGAAGTATAAACGTGAAATACGCGCTATTCCCAAACGCGCACGAAGAAAGATAAAAAAAAAAACAGAGCCGTTGACGAGCAAGGAAAGCCATATACGTGGGCTTTTCCCTCATACGCGTAAATATCCAATGGGACATAAAGTTGGAAGGAATGCCACGCAGGGAAAAGGGCTTTTTTTTTCTTGTCGGGAAAAGCCGACCGATGGACTCGGGTCGTAAATTAATCGGAGAAAGAGCGTTTACCCTTTGAGAGGGGTCAGTGTCACGCTCGGCGCGCTTAATATTTGGACTCCGCGGGTTCGTTGACTCCGAGGAGACGGCAGGCGGCGGCGTCGCTCGCTGCTATATATACCGAAGGCGCGCGCAAGTCCGCTCGCGACCGACCGGTTGGTCCACCTTTTCGCCTTCCTTCGTTCCGTAGCGCTCGCCTTTTCTCTCTCTCTCTCTCTCTCTCTCGTTGCGTTTTCGCTCGCACGCGCGCCTCCGCGCCGACGTCTGCTGCCTTGGGCTTTTGATTTTTCGCCTATTCGCCTTACGAGCGTCGACTGCAATTGGTCTCGATTGACGAGCTACTCGACCGAGCGTGAGATATATTGGTCTAATTAGGATTTTTTTTCCTTTGGTTGCACCGGGATACTGTTTTCGCGGCTGCAAAAACGCAAATAAACCATTTAACGCGATTACAGCGTGGATCCTCGTGGCGATCCCGCAACGAGGCGAGCCTTTCAAAGTCGAGCGTTTCGAGCCCCGCGGTGAAGATCCGAACGAAGATTGCTCGTAATTGCAGTCGCGCTCAATTGAATACTCCGCATTTCGCCCATTATTACACGCTCGGTCGGGCATCGAATTCATTTTTCGACGCTTATTCTCGACGAGCAACAAAATGCAAGGTGATACATATTCGAGCGCGCCGAGTCGGGGCATAATCATCGCCAAGTCTAATCGTTGTTTACGAGATGCGCTCTACGCTGGGCATACCCTTGAAGGATATGGCCGGTTTTCGTGGCTTCGGAAGACCGAGACGAGAACGAGCTGCCTCCCGGCTGTGATAACGGTAAACGAGCGCGCCAACAGCTGCCGCAGTTGCCGATTAGCGCACGACAATGTTGCATGTTTTATGGACGATATCGAGACGTAGATTTCTCAATCGTCCACGAATAGATGTTGCTCGAGTGACTTATACGTGCGGCTCGTGTGTCGAAATATTTGTATTTTTATCGCTCT